AAAATTGTGGACTATTTGAGTCCGAAGTGGCCTTGGAGATCATATATTCTAGCTTCCTCACTGTACACATGAGGAAATCCCTCTCACACTAAGGAGAATGAGCTCTCATGAAGTGACTGCTGATTTGGTTAAAGAATCTAACACCTGCTCCTGCCCCATCCGGAACTGAATGATTCTCCTGTGCTATGCTGTCGCTTTCCAGGAAAGGGAAAGAAAAGATAACATGCAGCCTTTTGAAAGAGAGAGAAGACCGTAGGCATTTTTTTTTTTTTTTGAGTATCAAACATTTCCTTAATATTCAAAAGAAAGGCAAGACTGGAATCTGGAACCGTATAGCTGTTAAAAGTCAGTAATGAGCTACATGATGAACATACGGTTCATTACTGAGGTAGAACATGAAAAATTTATAGCACAAATTCTTCACTTTTCTGGTATCCAAGGCCTCTGAGCATTCTTCATTTTCATAAGTATCAGATTCATTTATTCAATTTGAGAAATAAATAACTGTATTTTAAGAGGACGGTTTTCATTCTCTTTCTTATCATTTACATACCTATAGTTTTCCACTCATGTTTTTAATTAGCACTAGAGGACAAAGCAAGCATTTGTGTTTTCCCATTTTTGTCTCATGGTGTCTCATGGGTCAGGAGCTAATTGTGTGAAAGTAACTAGGTATGCAAAGATGAAAAACACAATGCCCATACCTTAAAGAAGGGGGAGGGAAGGAAGAGCTGAGTATGTTCTAAGAGTGAGCAATCCTGGAGGGCTAAAACATAGGACTCATGGAGAGAATTAAGAAGACATGGAGGGAGGGGCACCTGGGTGGCTCAGTCATTAAGCGGTTGCCTTCGGCTCAGGTCGTGATCCCTGGGTCCTGGGATCAAGCCCCGCATCGGGCTCCCTGCTCCGTGGGAAGCCTGCTTCTCCCTCTCTCCCTCTCCCTGCTTGTGTCCCTGCTCTTGCTATCTCTCTCTGTCAAATAAATAAATAAAATCTTAAAAAAAAAATAAAAAGAAGACATGGAGGGTATACTGTCATAAGAGCTGATGTTGGGAAAGATTTGTGGCTCTGCAGCCTGGTGTGCCATTCAGAGGAGTTTGGACCTTATCCAGCGAGTCACCAAAAGTCTGTAGCAAGGGAGTGGCTTAGATAACACTGGCATTATGGAGAAGTATAGTTTAGAGACTAGATGCACTTGCACCCCTTATCAACAGGAGCTGATGATAAGAAGAAAGATGGTGTCCACCAGTCTTTCCAAGAAGACAAGGGCCTAAAAAAAATTACTGAAAGGCCTTGGGATGAATCTCCTGAAGAATTCTTTAAGGAAGATACCTGCTAACTTTTGAATTTAACCTTGTGAAAAAACTAACATTTAAGAGAACTATTTACAACTACAAAGTTCCTCATGATATCAGAGTTCCCTATGCCTGTATCTTCCCTCATCCCAACTGTAGCTGGCTTCATACTGTATAAAATATTTGCAAGCAGCAAACCAAAGATTGAAACATATACATAATTTAATAAAAACTGGAAATGAAGTGTACCCTAACATGAAGATGAATCTAAGATTTCAGTAAGTATAAAGCAAACCGTGCAAAATGATCAATACATGCAGCACAAAGATATCATTGTACCAACAAGAAATACAACAAAGAAGAATTATTTGGTACCACTTCAAAAACTCTTTTAACGAATAGGATGCTAATGCTTTGACCAATAATTGCTATGTTCCTTTAGCATTTTGACCTAATTTGGTTTCTTATATTGTATCTAGTTGTTCCTATACAAAGTTAACTTTATGGTTGTCCCCAGATGCTTCTGTAAATAGGATGAAAATCTCAAAGGTTTTAATTATCTCAGTTAAATGGGAGTTACTAGTATTTCTAACCCTAGTACTTGAATTCTAATTATCTTCCCAAGTTGGGCTCTGGATTTTTTTCATTTTTTCATTCAATCTCTCTTAAATTTGTTGCTTTAGGTAATGCTCTGGAAATTGTACCTTTATGAGGCTACATGCTGGGATTTAATATCTATCCAAAAAAGATGAAATGATTTAGGAAACAGTTGGATAATTAAGCTGATTTAGGTAAACTATTTAAAACCTAATGGACATCATTAAAAATAAACTAAGAAAATCAAATATCTCATCATTTCTTTTCTCAAATGCACAGAATGGTCATTTTGCTATATGCCCAACAGCTTTTAAACAATAATATGAAGTCTCTTATTATAAGTTCTAAGATTACTGAAAAATAAAACCACAGATTTCTCATTAGTATTCCTTCCCTCAAATTCACAGATTGTTCACATTATTATATGCCCAATAGCTTTTAAATGATTACAGGCAGTATCTTACTACTAATTTTTAAGATTACTTAAATCACATCTGCCATTAAAATTTACAGGAAAACTCAGGATGGCTCTTACACCAGGCCATTCCAGCGAAGTAGATCAGATACTGAAAAAACTGAAATCTGCTGGTATATTTTCTTACAAATACATGATAACTAGAGTTAATAAAATGACAATGAATGTTGTTCTTTGACTAGAGATGTTCAGTGAATTATCTGCAAAATATCCAAATTTCCCAATTAAGTCACAGAGTAGCAAGCATATGAAAGAAACAATTACTGTAATGTTCTATGCTGGCACGGAAAAGCAAACCTTTTTGCACATTTTAAAAAATATAATCTACTTGGGAACAAAGCCAAATGTCAAAAGGGAAATCCAAATGCCTGCAAGCAGAAGCCCAGTGGGGGCTGGGCTGTCTCCTTTGAGGCCAAACAACCCTAAAACACACCAAGGAAATGCCCCTGCTGTTCCTTCTTTTTCATCAGGGATAGAGCCTGCCTTTCACTATCTCCACGAATTCATACTAGGGATAACTTAAATGGTCCAGATGCCAGTGGACTGGAGAACCCCACGTCATTCCTGGTCTAAGCTTTGATGGAGGCTGACCGAATTGCAGCCTTTTCCCTCCTTCAGGCCTGCGATAGTACAGCTCAGTCTGGTCCGGGATCTCAGTCTCAGAATTTGTTCGATCTAATTTCATGACACGTCTAGGTCCCCTGACAACAGTAGCAAAACTCGTAAGCCTATCTTAAGTGGTATAGGTTAAACTAAATCTCCTAATGTCTCTTCTTACCATGCTGTGGTCTGCTGTCACCAAGTTAGAATAATTCTACCTCTCAGTACTCACTTAGGTTCAAAGGGATTCTCTCCTGAGAGTAAAAGCCTGAATCAAGCTGTGACTGTCCAGCATCCTTCCTTATGCGAGGCCACCAGGGATAGGTGAAGAGGAGAATCCTAAGATGTAATCGTAACACTTTCTCACCTCTCATTTCTGACACCCACCGAGGGTGAAAAGGAAATAGTATTTTCTAGTTATCTGAAAATGATCCAAAACAGTTTGTATTCACTCAAAGCTGTAGAAGAAACCATGACTTGGCAAAATAAAGCACTCTGAAAAATTGCCCAGGAGTCATACATTATATTTAATCTTCTTGCATACAAAAAGTTTTTTTCTCCCCAAAGGCAAAATCCACACAAAAATGTGTTGGGGGGGGCTACTTTACCTCTATGCTAACTGAATACTGATAATGCAATATATCACTTTTGCTAATCTTTTTGCAGTGAATGGAATTTTTAAAGTGGAAGATAAGGTAGATTTGTCACAATAAAATGAAACAATCCATATTTCAAGCTAATACTTTTGTTTTTGCTTTGCAATTACAATATAGACATTTTGTCAAATGTCCTCAGACTCACCAGTTTGACAAATGGTACTTTATTCCCTGAACCTTCTCTAAGACATTTTTACCTTTGCCATTGTTCTAATAGAAAAAAATGTGTCACACAAAATAAATAACAAAGCCTCCAATTTCAGACTAGTTTAAACAGATAAGGTTTCATGACAACCTGTCAGCCACACTATCATTGATGGTTTCGTTATAGAGTGTTTCGTGGTAAATTTGAAGATCTCATTGTTTAGCTACCTCTTTTTCACTTTTATTCCCTTTTACCCTCCCCATCCACTGCCAAAAACCCAAGGCAATTAAGTAAGAGTATAATCTAATTATCAAGTAGCTATAAAAAGAAATGCCATTTAGTTCACTCTGAATACGTGATGGAATAAGCACATAAAGGATAAACGTTCCACATTAAAACAAGCTTTCTCTCTTTTGAAAGTGGGTCAGGTAACAAAAAAACAAAATAAAATGCAGAAATTAAACCAATGGTTTAAGATGAATCAAAATACTATTGTTGCATTCCATACCGATGAGGGCATTGGCGTTCACTGGTAACTGTTTCAAACAAGGGCCTTTTGAGAAGACTAGAAACCCCTCACCAAGTCCTCCTTGCTGAGTAATGCTTTGTCACCCTGGAGAAAGAACCTGGGGCTTGAAATTGCCTCTTTGCACACTTCCCTGAAAATCTGAGCAGTTCTGGAATTCCTAATAAACACTATCAATTTAGAGCAATAATTTTCACTATCGGGTAACAGCAATAAATGAAACTAAGAAAAACACACCAAGCTTGGAAATTTCCACATGAAAATAACAATTCCTAGATTAATGCCCTAGGCTCCCTTTTTGGTAGTGTTCTTGGTTTGTCTGACTCCTGAGCCTCAACGCATCAGATGATCTGACTTTTATTTTGCACTGTCCAGATCTGGATAAAGAGGATATTCGTTTCTTAAGAGTTCTGTCTAATGCTACTGTCTTTCTTTATCTGCTCTGTGACAACTTTAAAATGAGCCCATCACAAAAGCGATTTTGTAATGGAGAACCTGTCTCCCGGTGACATTATCTGGAATGACTTGAGTTAAGCAAACTAATTCATCTGTATCTCTGCACCACAAAAGTCCGTTTCCTCCCTCACTATTGATCCATAATTCATTCTTATTCAACCAGCATTCAGACTTTATACCAAAGCATGCATTCTGTTAACAAGCATTGGCTCTTTGGCTCGTTACCAACTTCGTGGAAAGATCCACTTACCTGGCACACACCATCTCCTGGACGTGCCACTCCCAGTAGGTTTTCCATAGCCTTTGCTGTTGTAGAGTATTTCATCTCTGTTGTGGCCTTAATGACTCCATCGCAGTAGATGCGGACATTGACAGAGCCAGCAGGAAAATCTTATAAAATACAAACAAGAGCTGAGTATACAATGCATGTATCCTATTATTTTATCTGTTAGAGAATATGAAGGAATATTTAAGAATTCATAACAATTTTACTGACTTCTAGCACTAAATGTTTTTTTATCCTTAGTATCCAAAGAATATAATGTACAATTTTAGACTTAATTAAATAAAACCTTACAAGATCAAAACATGCTAAAATTATGGTAAAAGCCCTAAATCCTTCCTTCCTACTACTAAACTTCTTTTTTGATGGAATCTATAATTATCTTTACATAATACTTTAGAATTTATAATGATACCATCATTCATTTAAAGTTGTGTATCTGTTAATAATCTCAAGAAACTTTGCATTAATTATAGGCAAGTTTCTCAAAATTGTATTTGGAAAGAGAAAGAGTAGAATCGATTGAAATCACCAAACTCTTATGCAACTGATTACAGTGAAAAACCCTTGGGAAGACAAGGTTTAATATCCTGCTATTTAAGTACCATTTATACTATACATTCATCAAAACTCTTTTTGTGAAAAAGTTGTTCAAAGTGACTGATATGATACCTTGTGAATTCTGCATTAACATACAGTCAGAGTTAGAGTTCCCTAAGAATGTTGGGTTCCCTATGAAAGAATAACAATAATCAATCATTTCAGTAAGAAAGTTATTTTGCTTTATTTTAACAAAAGTAAACAAAATTAAGCCTTGAAATCCATTTGCTTTAAAAAATCTGACTCTCTGTCATGGAGATATTTCCCAAATTCTCCTGGAAAACTGTCACCCAGACATCTGGGGGTTGGAATATAAGCCATTTGGTACAAGACCAAAAAAGCCTGTTCTAACCTTAGGCACCTGACGAAGCTTTGAATATTTAAAAGTTTCTAAGGTTTAAGCATAATTTTACTTTATCTCCTGAAGAGATTAAATGACCTCTTATAATTTTGCTCAGAGAGATTTAAAGCCAGCAAAAGCAATCTTAAGCTTAATTAGATCAAGAAGCTGTAATTTTCTCTTCCCACATTGCTTGACTAGACACCTAACCTGTATTATAAAGAAAATATATGTATAAAAGTTCTCTCCTCCCAAAGTAAGTCCATCCAGTAGATAATGTAAGAGAAAATGCAACAAAAGTACATTTAATCAGCTGAAGAAGCCTACATATAGTAAAAAGGGTTCTAGAGTTACTATAGTCAAAAGAAATCAATTTTGGTAGATTTCAGAAAGACAATTTTGAAAGAAGATATTGATTTTGTTTATCAGAAAAAAGATTAGAGTTTGCAATGGGGTGTTCACTGAAAGAAAGTCAGGTGATGAATCATGAGAGATACATGATGAGGTATGTATTGGTAGCTCTTTGATATAGGATACTTAAAATATTCTAATTCTTTTAAAATCTAACATGAAAGTAAATGAACTGATTTATTCTTGATAACTTGTACCATTAGATCTATTGATAATGATGTTGATCTTAGAATAATCTTCCCAAGAGATGTCCTTTGAAGTACTGTCCTTTGCTGTATACGTTTTCTTATCTATTGAATGTCAGTTATTAAATCAAGACCTTGGAGGATTCCTTATGGATTCATCTGGCTGGGAGGCCCTCCTTAAATATGTATTGTTGAATTGGACTTTTCATAAACAGCACTCTGTACCACCTGAGCATTATTTTATTTTGAGTGTGGCCATTATGATATCTACATTTTATAGCTCCTTAATAAAAATAAAAGCCAATTAATTTAAGGACTCAGAAAAGAGGGAAAGTGAATTCTGCTATTTACTATCTAAAGTCAGGAAGTAACATTTAACACTGGAAGTACACACGAATATAGGTCAAGATCACCAAACCAAGCAAGGGTACTGGAGTCAGCTATGGAGAGGAAAAAAGGCTTATAGTTTAAGAAGATGGAACTTCTTGCCCACATCAGACACAGATACACAAGAAAGCAAACTTATACAGGAGCAACAGTAAAAAAGGAATTCTACTCAAATTTCACATCTCAAGGTCCAGGCCATTTAAAATTCTTTGTCAACCTGCACTGTCTCTGGGATTTTAAGTGGTCTGTCCTTCCAGATGAGGGACAAACTGAAACAGTTTACAGAAAACATAAACTAAAATGTTTTTGAATAGTCAGAACTACCTTCACTAATTCTTTAAAAATACATATTTCACAAATCCAGTAACTTAAGAGCTGTTTGCTTTCTGTATTTCCATTGTCTGTGATGCTGTGTTCCTTTATCAACCAACTTTAGCTCTTTATCACATGGTAAACCTTACATGAACCCACCTAGTGTTTCCATGGGAACTGAAATCAATATGGTTTCCTTTTGATTAGAACATTATTATTAAATAAATATTGGTGGCTTCAAAACCTTTGTCTTGCCTAAAAATTGATACCAATTTAATATATTTTAAAACTGCCCTCTTCAATTACGATATTTAGAAAAATTTCTTATCAATTGTTGTTATTTTTCTACGCAGGTTAAGCATAATATTTGTCACATCCTAAAGTATTTTTCATGCTCTTTTAATGAAATATGAAATTATAATTTACATTATCCGGAACAGTTTCTTAATTAACAAAGAGATTTTATATCTTTGTGGATATTTTTACATTCCTTTCAACTTTTAATTGGTTGTCCCCACGTTGTATAAAGTACTTTTCTGGCTGAGCTACACGTATCAGAGGAATACCCTCTTCCTTCTGAGTAAACATTTAGTTGATATTTCTTGTTTAAAGACTGCACATGTATTTTTATAACTTTTGGCATAAGCTGAGACTACTGCAAGTTCCTGAGTAACTTCAAATTCCTTTAGCACAAAGCAGTTCCTGTCAGTGACAAACCCGTGGATACCATTAGAAAGGTGTGTTTTTTTTAGAAAATGAAGTAATTATATGAATTTATTAAGCTGAGAGGAAAAAGAAGACAGAAGTAAAGGATATTTTCTCAAATAAAAAGAATCAGGTTAAGCTATGGAAGTGTCTGAGAAGGGAAAGATACCATTTAGAAAAAGAGCATCTTAAGATTTCTTCACTGGTTGGCATAATTGTACTTGAACATAATTTTGTTTTTTTCTGAATTGTTACCAAATTAGAAACAAACATACATTTAAAAAGAGCATTAATACGGCAAAGAGTTGGTTGGGTGGTGAAAAATCTGAGAGGTCTGAACACTGTAAGTAGGTTTCAGAGTATGTGACATGCTGAGAGTATTATCACACACACTTAAAATGACTAAGAGAAACTATCCAAAGAAAGGAAGGAATAATAAGGAATAATGGTTTTATTTTTGTTTTTATTTTATTTTATTTATTTTATTATTAGTTGGTTTTAAGAGGTACCATTTTCTAAAAGAGAATGTTAGTTGCCTATCCCAAAGTTTATTCTCTACCTTTTAGAAACAGAATCCTGATTTTATTTTATTTATTTATTTATTTTTGCTGGGCACATTGCTATCCAACTAAAAGGACTCGATTTTCTGTTCTTCCTTTCAGCTAGACATGAGCTTGGGATTAGGTCCTGATTAATGTGATATCAGCAGAAGAGTCTTACAGAAACCTTCTCAATTTAATGAGGCCTTCTTTATCCCAGTGTTGTGTTGATAAACTGACTCTCCAAAAAGAAAATCAAAAAAGTTCTGATTTATAGTTTTTGCCAATTTCTGTGTTGTGTATACTTCCACCATGGCTGATTTCAAGTAACCAAAGTCAATGGACTGAATTGTGTTCCCTCCATCCCCCAATTCCTATGTTGAAGCCCTAACACCCCCAAGGTGACTGTATTTAGAGATAAGGCTTTTAATGAGATAATTAAAGTTAAATTGAAGTCATAGGGTAGCGCCCTTATCTAACAGGACTGGTATCCTTATAAGAAGAGAAAGAGACACCCCCAGTTCCATGCACTGAGAAAAGGCCATAGGAAGACAGCAAGAAGGTAGCCACCTACAAGCCAAGGAAAGAGGTCTTGCCAGAAACCAATTTTTTTGTCCCTTGATCTTAGGTTTCCAGCCTCCAGAAATGTGAGGAAAATAAATTTCTCTCGTTTAAGCCACCCAGCCTGTGGAATTTTGTTATGGCAGCCAGAGGAGACTAATACACAAGGTAATATCACTGAATATGAAGTAGAGAAGAGATGCATAGAATTGACTTTTGCAATCCAATATGAGATGGTGCTGGAACACCAGTGCTTCATCAGGTTGCTTGAAAATTGGGAGTGATAGTAAGGGTCTTAGAAGCCATATTACTCCATGATGATTATGGCTATACCCTAGGGATTATGGAATGGTTAGCAGAAATAAGTCTGCTCTGGGACAATATTGTGAAGCTGCCATACCAGCCCTCAATACCAGCCAGATTTAGTACATGAAGTTCTGGGTATCACCCAAGAGAATATTTACAGAGAGCAAACCCCATTTTGAGTAACACGGCTGATTAAATCATGAGCCAGATGATCAGAAATCAAATCACATGAGCAATTTTTCTACACCAGAAAGAGACTGGAAGGATGGAGGCCATCGTTTAAACTTGATACATCCATAATAGGGAAGGATCCCTGGTATGTTTCCACTTTAGTTTTAGATCCCTCCATCTTAATTTGGTATTCAAAGAAGTACAGAAAAATTTTTTTAGAGACTTAAATCTGTATAGACTCTTACTAGTGTGGGATACTAATTGAGATCTTTCCTGCCCCTGGAAATCACCAATGAGTTCAGGGATTATATATGAGATAACATGGAATTAGGAGTTCTGTTGAACATGATTCCTCAAGGGTGAAGGGGGATGAACAAATTTGGTGGCTTTTATATCAAGAGATATAAGCAAAGGACTGGGAGAAAAGAGGGTGTAATATGAGGACTACAATACTCAGAAAGATGATCCCCCCAATTTTTAAATGGATTAATATACCTTATCCAGAAGCTGAGGGTGAGGTATTCCAGAAAAGCCACTCCTTATGTTTAAAGGAATTGCTAGAGGGAGAGATTAACACTTTATTCCTCAGCTGGATATTTGTTTAAGTGTTGTCTTGTAACTTATTTCCTTTATCTCCAAATGTCTATAAATATTTGAAATGTAATTAGAGAAGTTATTTTATCAACAAGGAAGTTGAGACACGATTGGGACTTGTTTAAAGTTACCCAGTAAATGGCTCAAAACACAATAAAAACAACGCTTTTGGCCACTAGTTAATTGTTTCTTTGGCTACACTAAAGATTCTGGACAAATCACTAGCCTTTAAAGAGCATGCTGGACACTCTCTTATTCCATAATTGGTGTAGAGAAAAAGGAACTCTATTGTACTGTGCTATTCAGTGCTGTTCAGTGAAACTTTCCAAGAGGAATGGATATGTTCTAACGAAGCACTTGAAATATGGTTAGTGCAACTGAGGGAATTAATTTTAAATTTCATTTAATCATAATAAAGCTTAAGTAACTAGTGGTGGCTAGTGGTCAACATATTGGTCAGTGTAGCTACAAAACATAGTTCTCCACCTATGGTTTGTGACCCACTAACACAACATGGTATCAGTTTAGTTGGTTTTGACTAGCATAGAATTTCTATCTCTCTCTCTATATTACCCATATGTTCTTGCATGTTGTTCACTTTTCCATTACAGTCCTTAACATATTAATCAAAGTTTTTTTTAAATTCTCTGTATGATAATTCCAACATCTGTGTCACATCTAATTCTGGCCTGATATTTGCTTTATTTCTTTAGACTATGTTTTTTCTTGCTTTTTGGCATGTCTTGTAATTTTTTGTTGAAAACCAGACATGTTGTGTCGGGTATAAGAACTGAAGTAGGTAGGCATGTAGTGAGAGAATTTGTAGTAATCTGGCTGAGAAGTGGGCCATATTTCATATCTGCTGTAGGTGCCAGAGGCTTCAAATTCCTCTATTATCCTTGTTTTTGTCTTTCCTTTTGACCTCCTGCTTCCCTAACTACTCCTTTTCAGAAAGATTCTGCATCTTGCAGTATTTCCAACTGTAACCTTCTGCCATTATACTGAGACCCTTTTGTTGTGGTGGTCAGGTTGGGGCGGGGGAAAGCATTCTAATCTTGTGATTAAATCTTGGTCTTCAAGTGGGCTGGTATCTCTAGGCTGTCACATTCACCAGTGTTTCTCCTGTGACATCGCTTTCCTCCTAACCCTAAGTGAGACAGAAAAGCTAGAGGGGGCTACAATGGGATAGATGCCCTTCCCCAGCTGGGATAAGGCATTCTTAAAGTGGTTTCCCCTGGAGAGTAAACTACTGCTATGGAGAGTATACAGGGAGTATTTCACCATGATTGTTCTTCCTCTAACCTCTAGAAGATCTTCCTCAGATCTTCACTATGTGAACCTGGTAGGGTTCCTGGAGGTGAATCCCACAAAATCATGGATGCTCTCAGGAGTTTCTTACTCTTGAGCTAGTCCACACTCTACCCCCTGCAATTCATCAAAATTACCATTTAGGTGTGCCTACCACTTTATGGCTCCAGTGACTTCTGCTCCAGCCAAGCAGATCTTGGATGTCACTCTCTTGATTACTTTCCTCTCAAGATTTTGAGATGGTGGTTTGCCCTGCAACCTTAGTTCTCTGAGGAGTTCAAGAAAAGTCATTGATTTTCAGTTTGTTTAGCTTTTTCTTGTAGTAGGAATAGGAGTGACAGCTTCCAAGTTCTTCACATATCAAGGCTAAAACTGTTACTCTAATGACTACTTTTGCTTTAATTATATATTTCTGAGTATGTACTGAGTTATGATGTAAAATGTAGTTCTTGCTAGGGTTAAAAAAATGTTAACAAACAGTAGCATGAGGCAGAAAAAAATAAGACTCTGGGGCCATTTCTGCTGAGGCATGTCCCATTCATTTTCCCATACACATTCATGGAACCATCCTATATACTGTTACATTTGGTAAGAAAATTTCTCACTAATTTCCAGAACATACTAATTGCAAATAAGAGTTGGAGAGGTTAAATAGCATAACTGGTAAATATTGGTTTATTTGTTTTTTACTACAAATTTGCTGTTCAACCACATAGACAGTATATGGCCTGGCCTATATACTGGCCATACTATACAAAATATGTATATCTTGAAAGGTATAGACTATTAGTTTTCTGCTTTTCTGAAAAAAATGTGCATTTTGACATAATTTGTTCTTTGTATTGCTCTTAGCTACTAGGTAAACTGAACACATAATCTTAATGCAAATAATTTTATTTGACACTTTGATTTGCTATTTGGGAAATATTATCTAAGTACTTATAAATTTGCAATATTGATTTTTCTGTAGCAATTTTAGTCTAACTAGATTTAGTTTAAACTTGAAAACTAATTAGTTAGAAATTAATGTGCATTAAATCATTTTAAAATATGGCATAAATAGGGGGCTTTGGAAGAGAAAGAAAAGACACAAAGTTCTTTCTCATCTCACTTCTACATATCTTTGTCCAATACAGGGACCAGTGTCTGAAATGTTTATAAATGTTTGGTGTACAGTCCTTCCTTTTCTATAGTTCAACTCTGAACTAACCTGTGTAAGGAAATCCATAGAGGAGATGCGTGCTTTTCATAACACAATAGAAATGTTTGTAAGTGTTCTATAAAAGGGCTTCATAATAGCTACATTCCAAGAGGAAAAAAAAAAGTTCAGGATGCATTTGACATAGTATTTAATTTTAAATGTTTTTACTACATTTCTAGATTCATAATAAGATTGTGTACTTTTTATTGCAAAATATTTTATAAATTTCACATTTGTCAAGTTTTATAAGGTAATTTTATTCTTTGATTGTAAAATGATATCATAAATTCAAAAACCCAGTAGTCCTACATTTATATCAAAACATCAGAAATTAACATAGTAGATTTGATTTTAAATAAAATTCTTGTGTCAGGTGTGGCTATTCCATCTAGAATTTTAAACCTGATACAATTTATAATGCTGCAAGCAAAGGTGGATAATAAAATGGTTAACCTCATAAATTAAATAAGGAAAAGAGGGAAGATTGTGTAGAGAAATGGTACCATGATGATAAATAGTGAAAAAGAATCATGCTTTCCAAAGAATCCAAAAATATATTCACGGGCATGGCAAAAAAAAAAAAAAAAAGGAAAGGAAAAAGGTCATGAATGAAAGTCCAAATGTTCATTAATCCTATTACAATAAAACAAATAGTTTTAGTTCCACACTGAATCACTGACATATATTAAAATGCTCTCTGCTGAGGTACTTAAAACGATGTGATATTGTGGATGGTAATTTCACCACATGGTGCACAAGCTAATTTCTCATAATTTACACTTTCATACTTTTGGGAATCCAGATTACTAACAACCACCTTGGGTATGTGAAAGCTACACACAGGAAGCACCTGCAGAACAATATTAGTTTCCGAAAGGAAGTGAAACCATTTATCATAAATTTATTGAAAGAAACTCAGGATGATGTTTTATATTTATTAATGCATAAAAAAGTTTCTTACCTAAAGCTTTCATCCGCCAGACTGTCTTATTCCAACAGGTTGGCTGTGTCCTAACACATTTACTATTTGATGTAAATTCAACCTCCACAGTATCACCAATGACTTCATCTCTCAAAATAATAAATATTTCACCAGGATTCTATAAGATAAAAAATATTACCCAATTAGGGCCTTGAAAAAGTATACATTAACCAAAATACACATTATATTTATTAATGACAAGGTTTGCACATGATAATTATGTCTTCCACCATGTCCATATTTTCAACTATGTTCAGAAATAAAATACATACATGTGATTCTCACTACATTTCAACTTTATCAACTTTGTGTCTTTTTTTCCTCCAACCCCATCTTTGGCAACTGAAAAAACAGTGAGGACACAGTTGCTCCCTTTTCCTCGATTCGTCCCTGTTTGTGAGGCTTCCTATCTCAAGGTAATGAGCATCACTTCACAGACCTCCAGGGAGCTATAATTTGCAACCAAATCCTTTTTTCCCCAAATCCTTTTCCTTCACCTAGAACTTGGTACATGAGAGGGTTGAATAAGTTTAGTTCTAAGATCTCTTAATATTTTAAATATGAGCTTTAATGTCCAATGTTTTAAATGTCCAATAGTTTTAAATCTTACCTAATAGAGATTCTCTATTTGTGATGAGTATCTGTGAAGGTTACTGAGTTGACTAAAGGTTATAAATCTAAACGTTTTAAGATTTTATTGAGGTCAAAAAGCTAAATCTATGTACATAAGGCAAAAAAGGGTGTTTTTTTTTTTAAAGATTTTATTTATTCATTTGTGAGAGAGACAGAAAGAGAAGAAGCAGGGGGGAGAAGCAGAGGCAGAGGGAGAAGCAGACTCCCTGCTGAGCAAGGAGCGCAATGAGGGACTCAAACCCAGGACCCTGGGACCATGACCTGAGCCGAAGGCAGACGCTTAACCATCTGAGCCACCCAGGCGCCCGCAAAAAAGGGTTATTGAAAACACTTTTGGAAAAAAAAAATCCAGAAAAAATAATTAGGCATAAAAAGATTGACATTGGGGGGAGGAGCAAGATGGTGGAGGAGTAGGAGATGTGGATTTCGTCTGGTCTCAGGAATTCAGCTGGATAGGGATCAAACTATTCAGAACACCTATGAACTCAAAAGGAGAGCAAAGAAAAGAATAGCAACAACTCTCTGAACAGAAAAGCGACCACTTTTTGGAAGGTAGGACGTGCGGAGAAGTGAATCTGAGGCATTTTTGGGAGGATAGATGGCCGGGGAGGGGGCCTCCATCCGTTGCTTCTGCCAAGTGATAGAGCAGCAGAGCACAAAATCGGAACTTTTAGAAGTTGGCTCAGCTGAGGGACGGCACTCCAGTGGCTAAGTGGGGGGTGGAACCCTCGCGGGACAGTGTGGTCTCAGGACCCTCGGGGTCACAGAAAGACTGGGGGTGCCCGAGTGCGGCAGAGCTCCCAGGTATCGGAGCGGGGAAGCCGGCTACAGAGACATTGCTGAGGAGTGGGCTTGCAGCTCTGGGTTGCCATAAACGGTGATCCGCGGCACAGTCGGGCCACTGCTCCTCTAGCAGGGACCCAACAAGCGGCAGATCCGGGGAGACTCCCCTTCCTCACCCAGGAGGAGTGGTGCGGGAGTGCACCACACGGATCTGCTGGGTTTGGAGACTACAGACGGGGTCATGAGCCAGAGATAGAAATGCTCGGTCACAGGCTGGGTGAGCACGGGAGTGCAGCCGGAGACCAGGGAGATGGGAGTGATTGACTGCTTTTCCCTGGGGGTGCACTAAGGAGTGGGGCCCCTGAGTTCTTGGCTCTTCCAGGGCAGAGACTGGGAGGCTGCCATTTTCACTCTCGACCTCCAACGCTGTATGGAAAGTTTGCAGGGAACAAAAGCTCCCAAGAGCAAACCCGAGCAGATTACTTAGCCCAACCCTTCGGCAAGGACAGGGCAATTCTGCCTCTGGCAAAGACATTTGGGAACCACGGCAACAGGCCCTTTCCCCAGAAGATCAGCAAGAACAGCCAGCCAGAACCAAGTTTACCGATCAATGAGAATGGAAGACTCCAGCGCTAGAGGAATACTGCACATAGAATTCATGGCTTTTTTCCCACGATTCTTTAGTCTTTCAAAGTTAATTTTTTTAACTGTCTTTTTTTTTAATTTTTAAAATTTTTTCTTTTTCCCTTTTTCAACCAACATCTCAATCAATCCCTTTAAAAAAAACTCTTTTATTTTTTATTTTTAGAGTCATATTCTATCCCCTCATAGTAGTTACCCTTATTTTTGGTGTGTGTGTATATATATATATATATATATATATATATATATATATGTTGTTCTCTCTGTAAAATTTTGAGATACAGTTTCTTCTAACAGATCAAAATATACCCTAAATCTCTAGTGTATGGCTTTATTCTAGTCTCCTGCCTAATCACATTCTCTCCCCCCCACTTTTTTTTTAAAACCTCTTCTTTCTTTTTTCAACCAACTTCTTATCTTATCGATTCCTTTTATAAAATCTTTTATAATTTTCATCTTTACAGTCGTATTCCAACCCTTCATCATATTAACCCTTATTTTTGTACGTATATAAGTTTTCCTTTCTTTAAAATTTTGAGAGGCACTTTTTTTTAACAGACCAAAATATGCCCCAAATCTAGTGTGTGGCACTGATCTATGCACCAGCCTGATCATATTTGATCATATTCTGTTTTTGTTTGTTTTTATCTTTTTCTTTTTCTTTTTTTTTGTTCTTTTTTCTTTCTTTCCTTTTCTTTTCCACTGGTTTCAGGTCTTTTCTGAATTGTTTAGTGTATATTTTCTGGGGACGTTGTTAACCTGTTAGCATTTTGTTCTCTTATTCATCTTTTCTCCTCTGGACAAAATGACAAGATGGAAAAAAAACACCTCAACAAAAAGAACAAGAGGCAGTACCGACTGCGAGGGACCTAATCAATATGGACAATAACACAATGTCAGAACTAGAGTTCAGAATGATGATTTTAAAGATACTAGCTGGACTTGAAAAAAGCATGGAAGTTATTAGAGAAACCTTTCTGGAGAAATAAAAGAACTAAAATCTAAACAAGTCAAAATCAAAAAGGCTATTAATGAGGTGCAATAAAAAAAGGAGACTCTAACTGCTAGGATAAATGAGGCAGAAGAGAGAATTAGTGATATAGAAGACCAAATGATGGAAAATAAAGAGGCTGAGAAAAAGAGAGATAAACAACTACTGGATCATGAGGGCAGAATTGAGAGATAACTGATACCATAAGACGAAACAACATTAGAATAATTGAGATCCCAGAAGAAGAAGAAAGAGAGAGGGGGCAGAAGGTATCCTGGAAAAAATTATAGCAGAAAACTTCCCTAATTTGGGGAAGGAAACAGACATCAAAATCCAGGAGGCACAGAGAACCCCTCTCAAAATCAATAAAATTAGGCCAACATCCGACCTCTAACAGTAAAACTTAGGAGTCTCAGAGACAAAGAAAAAATCCTGAAAGCAGCTAAGGAAAAGAGATATGTAACCTATAATGGTAGAAACATTAGATTGGCAACAGACCTATCCACAGAGACCTGGCAGGCCAGAAAGGACTGGCATGATATATTCAGAGCACTAAATGAGAAAAATATGCAACAAAGAATACTATATCCAGCTAGGCTATCATGAAAATAGAAGGAGAGATAAAAAGCTTCCAGGACAAACAAAAACTAAAGGAATTTGCAAACACGAAACCAGCCCTACAAGAAATATTGAAAGGGGTCCTCTAAGCAAAGATAGAGCCTAAAAGCAACATAGACCAGAAAGGAAAACAGACAACATACAGTAACAGTCACCTTATAGACAATACAATGGCACTAAATTCATATCTTTCAATAGTTACCTTGAATGTAAATGGGCTAAATGCCCCAATCAAAAGACACGGGGTATCAGATTGAATAAAAAAACAAGACCCATTGATATGCTGTCTGTAAGAAACCAATTTTAGACCCAAAGACACCCCAGATTGAAAGTGAGGGGGTGGAAAACCATTTACCATGCTAATGGACATCAAAAGAATGCTGAGGTGGCAATCCTTACATCAGACAAATTAGATTTTAAACCAAAGACTTTAATAAGAGATGAGGAAGGACACTATATCCTACTTAAAGGGTCTATCCAACAAGAAGATCTAACAATTGTAAATATCTATGCCCCTAACATGGGAGCAGCCAATTATATAAGCCAATTAATAACAAAAGCAAAGAAACACATCGATACAATACAAAAATAGTGGGGGACTTTAACATCCCCCTCACTGAAATGGACAGATCATCTAAGCAAAAGATCAACAAGGAAATAAAGACTTTAAATGACACACTGGACCAAATGGACTTCACAGATATATTCAGAACATTCCATCCCAAAGCAACAGAATACACATTCTTCTCTAGTGCCCATGGAACATTCTCCAGAATAGATCACATCCTAGGTCACAAATCAGGTCTCAACTGGTACCAAAAGATTGGGATTATTCCCTGCATATTTTCAGACCACAATGCTTTGAAACTAGAACTCAATCACAAGAGGAAAGTCGGAAAGAACTCAAAGACATGGAGGCTAAAGAGCATCCTATTAAAGAGTGAATGGGTTGACCAGGTAATTAAAGAAGAATTTTAAAAATTCATGGAAAGAAATGAAAATGAAAACACAACTGTTGAAAATCTTTGGGATACAGTAAAGGTAGTCCTAAGAGGAAAGTATATAGCAATACAAGCCTTTCTCAAGAAATAAGAAAGATCTCAAATACAAAACCTAACCCTACACCTGGATTAGGAGCTGGAGAAAGAACAGCAAATAAAGCCTAAACCCAGTAGGATAAGAGAAATAATAAAGATCAGAGCAGAAATCAATGAAATAGAAACCAAAAGAAAAGTAGAACAGATCAACAAAACTAGGAGCTGGTTCTTTGAAATAATTAACAAGAGCGATAAACCCCTGGCCAGACTTATCTAAAGAAAAGAGAAAGGACCCAAATCAACAAAATCATGAATGAAAGAGGAGAGATCACAACCAACACCAAAGAAATACAAACAATTATAAGAACACACAAATACAATGGAACAAAATAGTTGAAAGACCTAAATGTGAGA